GTTTATTTTTAAAAGAAGTTGGTATAATAATCTTATCAAATTATTCAATTATCAATTTTATTGTGAGACGAACCTTGAAAAAAAGTCTTACTGTCTTTTTAAAATTTAATGAGATCTCGAGTAAACATAAGTTAAGCAATCATTAAAATCACAAAGCAGTGGACAGGTGTTACGTTCTAGTTTGGAATTTCTCAGCTCAGTGGTTTGAAGGTTAAATCATCGCTTCTAGATCTTCATACCGTTCGATCGTCGATGAGGTTGTTCATGTCTCATACTAACACAAAACAACTGTCTTATGCTTCTTTAATTGCAATGGTTGATTAATTTAAGTCACTTCATGATTTAAATGACATCAAACGTTCTCCACAAACCTGCCCGTACCATATTAATAAATTTGTTACTATAACTGTGATGTGTGCTACTTATATTGACATAAGTAGTATATAATGTTAGTCGTGAACAAAAGGTCTGGCAGCAGAGAGACAAGAGGACCGAACAGTAAAGAATGGAAACAGGACGCAATTTGTACGAAAATGCAAGAACAATAAAGTCTGAGTCATTTTGAGACAATTGGTGGATATTTTGCAAATTAAGCATTTACTTTATGATTGTTAGATCCTATTAACAAGTCCTGTAACTTTGTGATTAATACGCCCAATTGTCCCCGCTCGTGTTCTATTCGCTGCATAACCAATATTAACAATATAAAGTTGTCTAGTTGGTTAAGCGCCTGGCGCGAGACTGATAAGTCCTGGGTTCGAATCTCGCGGGGGCTCGTGTTTGCGCATTGCTAAAGAGTCCCATACTAGGACGAAACGGCCGTCCAATGCTTCCAGGTTTTCCATAGTGGTCTAGCTTCAATTGACTCATGATTTCAACCAGTGAAATATAAAGTGAGTTTGAAAATTCATTTTAAGTCTACTTTATGAATTCAATATTATAAACTAATCCGGCTATTATTATCGTTGTCATTAATCTCCAGTTCAAGAGAATAATGAATTTAGTCAATATATATATATATATATATATATATATATATATATATATATATATATATATATATATGTATATGTATATATATATAAACTAACCTTAGTATTGCTTTGTATCAAACTCCTTTATCATATTCATTACTAATGTGATATTTTACTATTAATGTATTTTAAATATGATAAGAAAAGTTTTCTTTATTGATATACTTAACGACAAATACTAAACTGATTAATCATTAATCATTCTTTATTCCCTTGTAAATGAAAGATATTTTGACATGCACATGAGTTGCTTACAATGTTATGTCAAACTGAACCAAGTTTTTCTTAGTTTTTTTTTTCAAAATTATCCAACTCTTAAAATCACGTAGTTACTACATTTTTTGGGGGGGGGGTGTTTTTCTGAATAATTTAAGCAACAAAAAATTGTCTTGACAAATTAATGAATATTTTATTGACTATTAAAAAATTATTAAACAATCAGTCATTATAAACTAACTGAAATAACTTTATTAATAATAAGATTAGGTTGTAATCAAATCTCTATAAATGTATCTTTTATATTTTAACTAACGTTTATAAACCTTATGACAGATTATAGAATTTATTTTGGGTACTTTTTATTCATTTATGAAATCAAGTTAGTCTAAAGAGTCGATAATGAGTCAGGTTTTAGTTATTATTGTTGAAGACTAGTTATAATATCTGTCTGATTAAATGGGAGATGATAGAACTTGATATCGAACCGAAAGTTGGTAGTCAATAGTCCGGTGTATTAAGCTGATCAACGCTAGTAATTCTTGATCTGTTGAGAATTTTGATACTCCAATAATGTTTTATTTGAACATTCGTCAAAATGTGAATAAATAGTGCGACAGAAATCGGTCGTCATGTATATGGGAGACATGTGTAAAAATTATATGTGAATACGTTTTTTTAGCGATCAACGTTTAAATCAACTTTTAATCTTAACACTTTACTTGTTATGTTTTTACAAACTTCTTTATGGGAGTAATGAAATGTAAATAAAATTAACGAACCATACTATACTGAAACCTTGTAAGTAACATAGTATTTTGTTTTACTGATTAGCCCGTACTATGTTCATAATTTTAAAATATCTAAGATCAAGATCATTGATGCCCGCTGCTGAGAAGTCCATACTAAGACGAAACGGTCATCCAGTGATTCCAGGTTTTCCATGGTGGTCTAGCTTTAATTGACTCATGATTTCAACTATTCAATATATTTCTATTAATCTATTCAAGAAATATTGGAAAATTGTTTTATTCACTGACTGTTTTTGATTAGAACATAGATAAACTGTTCAATTCATAATTATTTCATATTAGTTTTATTGACTATTTCAATATTAGTACTTTACTTGTTAACTAAATATTTAGGTCAAATATTTTGTAAGTAACTAATATCCCGATTTCTTCATCTAAGTTAAACAATTGAGCAATGATTCTTTCCTTCAATAATAAATCAGTTAATATTCATCAGTTCATTATATGAACTAATTGTTATTTTAACCATCTTATTCACTTTAGTTTATTCATATATCAACTATAAGGTCATAAAAAGAAATACGTGTTATTTTCTATTTATGTAAATTTCATTGGGTAAACATGCATTACATCAATTACATAATTTGTCATTTAACCAATAGTATACAGAAATGATATTTATTTGATATGGATCAAATGATTTATCGAATATTAATGATATAAAGTGATAAGTTTGATCAAATTTACCATATCATGATATTAATCGAGTGATTAAAATGGAAAAACAAATCTGAATGAATAAAGGATAATTTGTTTAAAGGAATAATTTTTCTTTTACTACTAATCACTTTTAAAATGTAGGTAATTTAAATTGGAAACATAAACATAAATTGACACTGCTGAAATAGGTATATCACCTTAGATTTTGGTTGAATAACTATCATCGGGTAAACAAGATTTATTTATCGAAACCAAAATTTAAAATAATAATTAGAGGTTTAGGAAATGACCAGGACGCTAAAAATATACCATGTCAAACTACTGAACTGCGAAAAGCTTTTAAAAAGTCAACTATCCTCATAGTTAAACTGACTAATATAATGTGAGTATGGTATGTAGACGCTTTATTACTAAATAATCATTGAATGATAAATAGTTAAGGTCTGATTGTAGCAATTTAAATACAATTTTTAGAAAATATATTAATCCAATCAATCTATTTCATGATACATGATTCGAAAAGTTTATTTGGAAAGACAATCTGCTTAATTTTAGGAAAAAAATTCCTACTTGAATAAAAACAAACAGTATGAAAACACTGTTAAAATTCCGTACTCTTTACATTTGTCTGTTCAGAATGATTGTTAGGTAAATCATAGAGCTTTCTCAAAATAACTTGGAGATTATTCTGTATTATGAATTCAAAGCTTATTTAAACAAAGTAAGGTTTGAGTGCATTTTTTAAAATGTCAAACGTTACCGATACTCATCTGTATGAATCAAGAATATAGAGAGTCAATGGAGTGTTATATTTTTCAACGTAAAGTGCTAAACATTAGATATTACTTTTAATAATTTCAAAATGGTATTTCATTAACTAACTGTTGGAAGCATTGAATAATATGATATCATCCACCATAGGAATCACAGTATTTTAAGAACCATAATGGAAGAGCAAAAGGAGCATGATGCAATCAATCCTTCATCTTCAGTAAATCATATTAAACACTGATTCTTAATATTATCATTATTGTTTTTTTTAAAAATAAAAAGTGAGATCACTTATCTGTTTATTTATAAATTATTTGATGTTGACTGTTTGATATGGTTTGATTATGAAGTATGTTTTCATTGAATACAACATTTTGCAAGGTCTTCTAATGTAAAGAAACACTCTATAAAAGTCAGTTATTGAAGGTTATTTTATTAGTATTTCATTGTGATTACTTTAAAACTTCGTAATACCAATTGCTTCCTTTTTCTTACTGAACAAAACGATTCATGAAGAAGAAAATAAATTTCCCAAAAGTATGATAGATGTATATAATAAGATAATAAGATGAACTAACAATTATTTGGTGGAAAAGCTTATGGAAACCATTCTTTGTTTAAATTCATTTTTTCTCTAAAGATTAATATCAACTAAAAAACTTCTGAAAATGAAATGAAACATTGAAATGATATTTTTTTATCTTCATTTATGTCTCAGGTTGCATGATAAACCTATCACATTCACATCAATGAATCAGAATTAAGTAACAGTAATGTTTTGTTATTCAATGTTATTAAAAGATAACTGTTCGAACTTTCTCATTAAAAATATCGTATAAAACTAATGTTTTCTGTGCAATTCGAATGTTTTGTCTTTTATCTCTGCCAATATCATAATGACATAAATGGACATAGAAGTTTCATTTTACGATTGAACAGTTGTCCAGTACTCTCAATTTTTCAATATTTCTCTAGTTGTTGTCATCAATAATGAAACGGAAATTGACTTTAACTTTTCTTTAAACACACTATATATATTTCGTAAAAGTGAACCAAAACTAACTGCTTAAAATTTATGTTAATGGTGCAAACTAAAAGATGGTTAACATAATTTATGACTATTTTGGTGAAAATTCTACTTTTATTATTCGGAATAAATCAAAAAAGTTCTGTTAAAGAAATCGTATATGTGCATCCTTTATGGATCATCTCGATATTGCCTTAAGTCACATGCATTATAAGCAAAGATGGATAGTGACTAGCAATGGAATTCAAGACGCGCGTTTTGTCCTATTTGAGACTCGTCGGATGGAAGAACTGGCATCACACAGTTGACGTTTACTAGGGGACTCGAACCCTATACCGTTCGCTTTAAATGCCATTTCTTTATCCCCTTAGTTATTGAGTCCTGATAGCTATTAATAACATAGTGATATGTAAAAAAACACAGTTAGAGCTGAAGAACTTCATGTTGTTAAATTATTATTTTCATAAAAGTGAAACTTACGTGCATCTTGAGAATAATGCTTCATTTCTTCATCACTTCTTATTGTTCTGTATGCGAACAGATAATTGAAATACATTGTCATTAAAATAATCTTTAAAATAGCTATACTGAAAAACATAGTTATTTCACAAAATTTCAGAAAAAACAAGTGGAGTTAACTACAATTGTTTAATAATGATGAATTTCGTGTATTAATAATTTTTTATAGACGGATATATTTTTTTTTCGGATTTCAATAGTGTTTTTATTATGATATGAAGTTGCTAAGTGGATAGTAACTTTATCTGTTCTAATTATATAGGGTTTATGTAAATTATTATTTGTAATTCACTAACGACTGAAACACTTATTTATAATGGAAATTATCATTATTTTTCATTTGTTTCACTATTAATTGAATAATTATGTTCAATTGCTGACAGTTAGATAAAAATGAGTTAATCTGATTCGTTGATAATCATATTTAGAATTTTCAACCAATAAAAAAATTGGAATATTATTTTAAAGTATTGTTAATTAAATCAAGTAAATATGTTCAAAAACATTAGCCATGCACAGTCCAAATCGCGACAGTACAGATCATCGTTGAGCAATCATCTGAACGAAACTCGTCACTATACTGTAACTTCATTGACTATGTGAAAGCATCCGACAGTGTGGATTGGAGAAACTTGTGGAAACTATTGCGATATTATGGTGTACCTGAGAAAATCGTCAACATCATGTGGCTGACTAGGTTATAAGGACCTCGACAGTAAGAAGGGAATAAAATGGACAGCTTAGATGCAACTAGACGATTTGGACTTTGCAGATGACCTAATCCTTCTATATTATATACACTAGTAAATGTAAGTCAAGACAACCACTGTAGCACCAGCCTATACATCAGTAAACCTCAACATACACAAGAGAAAAAGCAAGATCCTCAAATACAATACAGAGAACACCAACGCAATCACACTTGATGCAGAAGCCTTGAAAGAGTTGAGAAGTTTCACGTACAAGAAGTATCAGATGGATACGTTAAGGTAAAAATTGGAAAAGCATGAGCAGCATTCCTACAACTGAAGAATATATTGAACTCAAAAAATCTGTCAGCCAATATAAAAATCAGAATCTTCAATACGAACGTTAAGACAGTTCTAATGTACGGAGCTGAAACGTGGAGAACTACTACAAGCATCATTAAAAAGTACAAATATTTATAAACCATTTTCTACCAAAAATAGTCCTGATCCGTTGGCCGGATACTATCAGCATCAGCCTACTATGGTAGAGAATAAATCAATTTCTATCTAAAGAGGAAATCAAGAAAAGAGGATGGAAGCGGAATTGTAGGAAATCATCATATTTCATCACGAACCGCGCGCCAACTTGTAATCCTGAAAGAAAACGGAAATGATGAAGGCTAAATAACACAGTGCATAGAGAATTGTAAGCAGATAGAAAACGAATGAATGGCAACTGGAAACAAATGGGAAAGATTACTCAGGACCGAGTTGGATGGAGAATGTTGATGGACGGCCTATATATATATATAATATCTTCATCTTCAAGATTTCGGTTTTGAAGTCACAGATATTATATCATGTTAGCCAGAATACTTCATACATCAAAAATTGTTTTAATTTAATCAGTTTAGTTAATGTCATACATATTTTTTATGGCGATTACGTTTCGGATCCTTATAAAGTGTTTGTTCATCAACGAAAAAAGTGGTAAAAGAAAGGTGTAAGAAATATTCTGTAGGTTAGAACATAGTTACCAAAAGAGTAAAGTCATAAAAGTGCAATAGAACATTGAAGAGATATTATTTTGACACAATTGTCATAATGTCGTGTAAATTACGAAGGTTACTGCTCAGTAAGGAAAGTTTGATATGAAAGGAATGGCATCAGCAAATACAAAAAGGGTGACTGAGAGTAATTTTCTCCACAAATTATTTACTATTAATGGCCCTAATGTGCTTCTTTATCAACTGTTTTAAATCTCGCTAAAATTTGCGAACTGATATAAACAGTTTGAAACATGAGTAGATGTATGAAATTATGTGCTTGAGCATTTTTTAAACATAATTTGAAATTCATGAATCAAAGATAAACTATTGGAAACCACTTTTTCTGCTTTTAATTCAACATGTTATAATAGTGAATCATCTATTGAAAGAAAAAATTTTCTTATTTGGTTTTTTCTTAGGTTCTTAAGTCACTACTGACATTCCGATTGTACCGGATTTGAGATTCGAATCATCAAGTTTACATGACTATAATAACTTAGTTATTAGAAAGTGCATACCGTTTTTGTTTTTGTCATGCATTCTTCGGGGTTGTCGTTTCACTACAAAGTTGTGATTATTGATCTTCAATAATCTGTCGAGTTTCTTTGGAATTGTGATGAGCCTCTTGCATACAACTTCAAACTAATAGTATTCTTAATGACAAGTGTGAGTTCTATTGATTTTAGAGATAGAGAACACTGTTATTTACAATTATAAAAACGACGGATTGAACATCGTTACTGATATAAGCTTTATTGGGCTAATTCAACTTATTGATGATACTATTTATGTCTTGATTAAATTCGTATGTAAACCATGAAACCAAACAAACTGATGCTATATAATTGAAGGAAAATCATGAGCTTAGATTTCCCGTTAGTTGGCACTCGTTAGTAGGGTGTAACTGTTATATTAATCCCAAGTCACTTAGCTTCACAGTTCATGATGTTACCACTGAGCCATTTGGCCCATGACTGATCTTCCGTAGGTTTGAGATATTTACAGTTACTAATTAGTAACCAATATCGTATTCGTTTTATTTGCTACTCGAATATCCAAACCATAGCTTTTCAGACTGTATAACGATACGAGGTGTGGTCGAATCGCATTGAGATACATTTTTTAAACCAGTGCTAACTAGAATGGAACTTACTCTCAAGTTTTGTGCTCTCTATATACAATCACCTGACACCAAAATATAGTGCAAACGATTTCAAATCAATCAAGTTACTGATCACACTACTACTTGACCGATAGAATTTGATCCAAACCAGGGACTAGACAAATATTATATATTTCTCACTAATCACTGATCATTCACTGTGAATAACTAATCAAGTGAATTACTTGTCTAAAAAAAATAAAACCAAATGTGTTTATTTAAATTGAATAATGAGAAACAGAACGAATTCAGAGTTAATCACTTTTAAGAAAAGAATTAAGGCAAATACATTTGAACATGGTGAACTGATTGACTTTGTTATCTGTTACAATAGTTTATTATAGATTAAAAATTTATTGATGTATGTGCAATAAAACGATAATAAGAAACAATTTATGCATTCAGTTCTAATTTTTTCAAATATTCAGTACAAACTCAGATCAAACAATTGGATTATCTGTATCTGATTGATTGATCTGCTTCATGAGCGCCTATACGTTAAAGACATCAAAGCTGCTACCCTGGTACAAACAATTTTTCATGTTTAATCAAAAGTGGTTAAATTCCATTTGTTTAATCTTAAACTATGCTTTTAGACATAGTTTGTAAATTGATTGTTAATGGTTGATTTGAAAAGTAAATACACTTTTCGATGAGAAAAGTAATATCGACAAAGTTCTGTTCGGTTTTTGAAATAGATATGATAAGTTATTATTAAGTCGTAATGATAAGTGACGAATAATTTATTCAGAAATGTTTTCTCATTATTTTTAGTCCACGTACATTCAGCTGAAGAGCTCCAAACAGGACGAAATGCGTGGTTTGAATTCCACCGCTATCCATTATCTATCTTTTCTTATAATACTTATGACTTAAGGTAATATCGAGGATACTCATATGCTAACAAGAGACTGATCAGTTGCAGATCTAAACAACAATGGGAAGATACAAGCAAATAATACAAAGTCAATTATGCAACTTTTTATACAAATTTGGTGATATGATTTGATTAAAACTGCACAGTATAATTTATTTATTTTTAAAAATTAAACGTTACCAAATTCTGTACTGAATTGGAAGAAATAAAAATTATTCAACTGATGAAAGTTTTATAAGTCCATTAAGTTATTTTGTTCTTCAATAGGTAATAGCTGAGACTTTGATTACAGGTAAAATTAGTAACATTGGTGAAAAACTAGTTTCTTTTTAATACATTTGATCATCAAGAGACCAGTGCTTATTTCTTGAATTAGAAACATTATGTTACTAGGTTTTTCTACCTCAACAAGTCTACTTAAAAGATATTGTATGAAACCTCACTTTCTTTTAAGCAAAGTTATCATAACTGACTAAACATTTTGAATTAAGAAAAAGGATATTACTATTGTCATTGAATATATGTGTGCCAACAGATATCAGTTTTATACACTTCGAACTAACTTTTCGATTATCATAATCCCAAATCATTATATATGTGAAGTATGTATCATTTTAATATAAACAATTTTACCTAGGGTAGCACGATTATGAAATTCAGTGCTACACTGGATTGATCATCAATTTCATGCACGTATCCCATATTTTACATATAAAATTAAGGATTACATATATCAAACATATAAATTTTACTGTTTATATCAAAAAATTATTTAATAATGGTTTTAGGATTCAGTAGCCAAGTGGATAACGCGATGATGTTTGAAGCGAATGGTACTGGGTTCGAGTCCCGAAGTAGACACCAGCTTTGGGATGCAGGTATATCCAGCTGACGAGTCCCAAATAAGTAAGGAACGCTCGTCCTGGATTCCACAGCTATCCACTATCCATCTTTGCTTGAAATAATAATTTAATATGTTTCTTGACCAAGAAATATTTATGGGTGTTCATTGCATTTTAGTAACTTATATCTGCGAATATGTTACATTTTGATGACAACCAACTCGAGTAATTTCAGAAGTTAAAGAACTACTTCATAATTATTTGTAACCTGCCAACATCTTTTCATAATATCAAGATTCCCTAGAAAACACGAAAGATTAATCTAGTTTTATTCGCATTAAATAACTAATGAATCATTTTATTTTAATCAAGAATGATTTTAACATATGATAATTTTCTCATAAATTATCAACACTAAACTGATATATTTGCTAATGTTGGTAACCTGAACGCAACCTTAAGCCAAACATATCCTAAGTTTGTATATACTTATGTTACAAGAAAGGTACCTATATTGATTGTTTGTTTTCAGTGATCAACTATATGTTAAGCACTAAATGTACTCGACGAATTTTATCAAAAGTTAACAACTTATAGTGAATATGATGACTATTAAGTCTACCCTTTAGCATCAGGATGGTTTATAAACATCTCAATTTGCATCGTATTTGAACATGAGAGAGGTATTTATATTGTTGGATGA